TGCAAAATGGGAGAACCACTTTGGAAGACAATTTGGCAGTATCTTACAAAACTAAATATACTTTACTTGATCAAGCAAACACCCTCCTTGGCATTTTTCCAAAAGAGTACATGTACATAAACACCAGCACACAGATGTAAACACCAGCATACAGATGTGAACATCAGCACGCAGATGTTTATAGCTGCTTTATTCATAATTGTTAAAACTTAGGCCAGGTGTGGTGTTGCTTGCCTTTATTCCCAGCAATTTGGGAGACTGAGGCAGAAGGATCACAAGTTGTCTGGACAACTTAGTGAGATCCTGTCTCAAAATTAAAAACAAATATTTTTAAAGGGGCTGGAAAAGCAGCCCAGTAGAAGAATGTTCCTGGGTTCAATCCCCAGTACCAAAACAAAAACCATCAACCAACCAACCAATCAACCATTTAAAAACCGCAAAACAAACAAAAAAGGAGAGGACTCTGTGGTAGAACCTTTGCTTAGCACTCACAAAGCCCTGGGTTCAACTCCCAGGACCAAAACTAAACAAAACAAAAAGAAAAACAAAAACTTGCAAGCAACCAAGATGTCCTTCAGTAAATAAATAGATAAATAAATTGGTATGTTCAAACAATGGAATATTTAACACTAAACTTATGGAATATTTAACACTAAAAAAGAAATAAACTGGGCTGGGGTCGTAGCTCAGTGGAGAGCACTTTCCTAGCATGTGTGAGGCACTGGTTTTGATTCTTAGCGCCACATATAAATATGAATAAATAAATAAATAAAGGCATATCAACAACAACAGAAATAAACTACCAAGCCATAAAAAGACATGTATACTGCTAGATGAAAGAGCCAATCTGAAAAGGATCTATATTGTATGATTCCAACTGTATGACACTGTGAAAAAGGCAAAATTAAAGAGAGAGAGAAAGAAAATTAGTGTTTGACTAATTTTTGACTAAGTGGACTACGGAGAGAGAAAAATAGGAGAATGAGACTATTGCATGTACTATAAAGGTGGATACATGTAATGACTTTTATCCTACTCTATAGAGTGTACAACAGCAAGTGTGAATCCTAATGTATACCCTGGACTCTGAGTGAGAGTGATATATCAATGTAGGTTCATTGTTGGTTGTAACAAAGGCTATGCATGTGAGAAGGCAGGATGCATATGGAAAATCCCCATACTTTCTGTTCAATTTATGTGAACTTGAAATTGCTCTAAAAAATAAAGTCTATTTTAAAAAAGCTTGCCATACCAGACACGGTGGCACATACCTATAATCCCAGCAACTGGGGAGGCTGACGGAGGAGGATCACAAGTTCAAAGCTGGACTCAGCAACTCAGTGAGGCCTTAAGCAACTTAGTGAGATTCTGTCTCAAAGTAAAAAAAACAAAAGTAAAAAGGGCTGGTGGTGTGGCTTAATGATTAAGCACCCCAGGTTCAATCCAGAGTTACAAAATAAATAGATAGATAAATAAAACAAAAATTTAAAAAAAGCTTGCTTGAATTTAATATGAAACAAAGATCAAGAATGATTGGCCTAAGTTTTCCACATAATAATTTCCTTTAGTTATTATTCTCATCATATTAGGTAGTTGTTGTTATCCCATTTCTTATATGAGGAATCTGAGGCTTGAAGGAGTTATTAACTTCTCCAAGTTTACCCAGCTTCTAAAATGGAGAAGTGGGTTTCAAACATTGGTCTGCTGATTCTTATGTCACTATCATACTGTGTAATAACTGGAGCTCATAGATCAAAGTAAAATGCACTGCCTTATGAAGCAATAATTTCCCAACACTGGAAAGATTATAGGAGAGGCTGGGTAACAAATTGGGCACAGCACAAAAAAGTACTGCATTGATTTTTTTTTTCTGTATGCAGGAAGGTACAACAGGCATACTTTTTTTTTTTTTAAATGTAAAATAAAGATAATAGTCGATACAGGGATTGGTATCTGTGCTACCTTCCTTCTTGCTGAAAAATAGTAATTCCAGTATAGAGTACTGTCTTTATTTTATTTATTTATTTTTGGGTACCAGGGATTGAACTCAGGAGCACTTGACCACTGAGCCAGGGTCTCACTGAGTTGTTTAGTACCTCATTTTTGCTAAGGCTGGCTTTGAACTTTCGATCCTCCTACCTCAGCCTCCCAGCCACTGGGATTACAGATGTGTGCCACCATACCTGGCCAATTAATGTTTTTAATACATATAAAACATAATGCCACATAATTATGTCATACAGAAGATAATTATAGAATTTACTTAAAAAATGAATTCATAGTACATGACAGTTAATCAAATGTGAGTTTAAATTTAAAAAAAATATTTTTTAGTTGTAAATGGATCTTTTATTTTATTTATTTATATGTGGTGTTGGGGATTGAACCCAGAGCCTCACACATGCCAGGCAAATGTTCTACCACTGAATCACAACTCCAGCCCAGTGAGTTTAAATCTTCCTTTTTGGTCTTGTGATAGATCATAGTGACTGTACATACTAAAGATCTTTCATAAGGGTGGCGCTAAAGCCAAAAAGCAGCTTGTTGCTTTCCTTCCCCCAGAAGGAGTCTTTTTTTTTTTTTTTTTTAAAGAGAGAGTGAGAGAGAGAGGGGGATAGAGAGAGAGAATTTTTTTTAATATTTATTTATTTTTTCTTAGTTCTCGGCGGACACAACATCTTTGTTGGTATGTGGTGCTGAGGATCGAACCCGGGCCGCACGCACGCCAGGTGAGCGCGCTACCGCTTGAGCCACATCCCCAGCCCCCCAGAAGGAGTCTTCAACACACCTCTAGGTCTCTCCACATGGTCATCCTAGTATCTGGCCAGCTCTGACTCAACATTTGAGTTCTAGTTCATACATCTTCTTTCATTTTTTTGTGGTACAAAGGATTGAACCCAGGGGTGAGCTAAATTCCCATCCCTTTAAACATTTTTTTTTGAGACAAGTTCTTGGTAAACTGCCCAGGCTGGTTTTTAACTTGCAATCCTCCTGCCTCAGCCTCCTGAGTTGCTGGGATAATAGTCATGTGCCACTTCACTAGCCATGTTATTTTTGAAGTCTTTCAAGGTACCATTACCTACCTCATGATGTTTCCAGTGTACCTGATAATATGTAATAAGTACTATGAGAAGGGAGACAGGATTATGTTTACATCTATCTTCCTGTAGACTTTTTACAGTCTGATGAGGTCTGTGACTTACTGGGCCTTACACTGTGCCTGGCACAGAGTAATTCTAAATATTCATGATTCTTAGATCTTTGGCGTCAAGGTGAAATATTAGCATGTAAACACTTAGTGTTTTTTTGGGAGGGAAAAGTATTCAAGTATGGTCAGTTAATTTCATCTGTATCTTTTGTTTTCTTTAGGACTTTTCTTTAATATTCTTGTCCTGGGGTCTTATTTTGAATTTTTTTCATGTTGAATTTAAAATAGTAACATGGGCTGGGGGTGTAGCTCAGTGATACAGCACATGAGCAAGGCACTGGCTTCAACCAATAGCACACACACAAAAAATTATATATATATATATAATTCTTTAAAAAGCACATCAAGGGCTGGGGATGTGGCTCAAGCAGTAGCGTGCTAGCCTGGCATGCATGCGGCCCGGGTTCGATCCTCAGCACCACATACAAACAAAGATGTTGTGTTTGCCGAGAACTGAAAAATAAATATTAAAAAAATTCATTCTAAAAAACAAAGCACATCAAAAGTCACAGTATTCTTTTGATAAGGCTTATGAAAATGCACCATAGTTATTAATCTTTGGGGCAGGAAATGGGTGGGAATAGAGGAAAATAGCATTTAAAAAACTTAGTTAAGGGATAGGTTAGTCTTCCTAATTTTTCTGTTAGTAGATCATCATTTTCCTAGCTTCTAGGTCCTCTCTACAGGTAAGGAGTGAAAAAAAATTAAAGTTAATCATTTGACAATGAGGTAATGGAAGCCTCTAATCCCAGGAACTTGAGAGTCAGGGAGGAGAGAAAATTTGATGCCAGCTTCAGCAATTTAGTGAGATCTTGTCTCAAAAAATAAAAAGGGGTGGAGATGTAGTTTAGTGGTACAGAGCTCCTAGGTTCAGTACCTGGTACCATGAAAAAAAAAAAGTTAATCTTTAAGTCTAATATGTAGTCTTTTAAAATAATTTTTAGTTGTAGATTTCTCCATTCTTCAATAACTGGGACTTCCTTTTCTTCACTGTAGAGTATTTCAACAACCTTCCAGCTAATCTCTTTGTTTAGGTAGTTCCCTTTAGCCATTCTGTACACTCTGGCCATACAAATCCTCTTAAGACTAATTTTTCCAGTTTTCTAGTCCAGAACTTGTTGCTTAGCACAGCCTAATTTCTGCATCTGCATTCTAGGCTCTTCATTCTAGAGCCCAAACTTTTTACAGGGGACAGGGATCCTCTTCCTCAGACTACCAACGCAAAAGGCACCTTTTCAAGTGTCCGCATTGAAACCATTCTTCAAGGTCCAGAAGGACTGCATGCCACTTCCTGCTTTGAAGATTCTCCCCACCCCCACAACAGCAGCTCCAACTCACTCATGGCTTCTAAATAATTGTTCTAATGTGTGGTAATTGTATCAAGATAGTTGACTCTTCTGTCATGTTCCCTTTATTTTATTTGTCAATAGGAGATCTAGGGGACTATCACCTGTGACAGTTGGACATAAACAGGTGTCTGAAGTGCTAATCTAATTTTCAAAATACTGTTTCTTTAAGCATACACTGCAGCTCTTCTGACTGTGTCTCAAATATTAGCGTGAAATATTCTTTTTTGTTGTTGTTTGTTTAAAAGACTAAAAAGTGAGAGTATAGTAAGAATCTAGCTTAGCTTTACTTATCTCACAAATAAAGAGAATTTATTTCTTGATTAAAAAAAATCCATATTCAGTTAATTCCATCCTAAAATTTCTCCAATTGAGTCCTAGAGGTAGGAATATTTTATTTTCAATGAGAGTGAAGTTAAGTTTGAAAGGAATAACCATGGAAGTACCTTGTGACCACAAGCCACAGGAAATGGAGCCGAAAGTCCACCTCATTGCTGCTGCTTACTGGGGACGACATCGGGCCTGAATTCTCGCTTTCTTGGAGCCTCAGTCCCCTCATCTGTCAAATGAAGAAAATAACGTACTCGGTAATAAAATACCTATTTATCAGGGTTGTGAGAAAGGGTTTCAATTGGAGAACCGGAGAACCGCAGGGCGGTTTGCCTCCCAAGATCCAGGGGAGGCGCTTTTCCTCACGCGACGCACTTCCGTGCACGGGGAGGGGTGGCCGGGGCCAGGGATGCTCGTGGCCGGGTGCGGGTCGCCTGAGCGGAAGCCGTGGCGGGGACGGGTTGAGCCACATCCCTGCCGTACTACGCTGGGGCCTACGGCAGGAGCACGCGAAGTGCTAGACATAGTGCAAAGCAAGGCGAACGTGCGTGCACGAGTGTGCGCGGGGTGCTGGGGCACGCTCACATTGACAGCGAAGCGAGAAGGGTGCCAGGGAGGACCATAGGAGAGCCATAGTAGACAAGCCCGAGGCCGCGGGGTGAGAGCGTCCGGCCGCCCGGCGCTCCCCTTGGCGCCTCCGCAGCGCCCCAGGTGGCCGCTCGTGGGGTAGCCACCGGCTGGGTAGATTCGCTCCGCCTCCGCCGGGCTCGCCTGCCCTCAGCAGCTTCCCCGCCCGACACTCGCTCGACCCTCCTCCCTTCCCCCTCCCGGATCGCGATGGACGCGGCCTCCCCCCGCCACGGCCGCCGGCAGCACTGCGCGGGCCTCCCTCTGAATTGCAGGGCCTGAGGAGCCGCGTGCCGGAGACGGGACCTGCTCAGGCTGCTGCCGCTCAGAGAAACCTCTCCCCTCCCTGTCACCAGGTCCCCGCGGAGGAAGGGGAGGGACGAGACGCGGCTTTTCCTGTGCCGCCTGCCCGGCTCGACCTGCGCGGCCTGCGGCTTCCTGGGAACTCGAGGGCCGCGGCCGGGCCTGGCTCTGCCCGCGGCCTGCTTGGAGCTGGACCGGAGCGGTTTGGGAGGACCAGCTAGGGTAAGAGTCTGCGGGAAGGGTAGGCGGGAGCGCTTCCGGCCGTCGGGAGGTCCTGGTCGGGCCTGGGGCCGGGATCCCGAACGCCCAGCGGCGGGCGAGGAACGGGACCCCGGCGCCGGGTGAGGTCGGCCAGGCTGCTGCCTACTCTCCGGCTTGGCCCCTTTGTTCCCCTCCCCTGACCATGCGGGCGGTGGGGCCCGCCTGGCCCACTCCGGAGCCCATGGCGAGCTCCCCTTGCCCTTGAGAAGGGTCCGCCACTCGGCGGGGACTAGGGACGTCCTGTCGAGCCGCCGGGAGTTCCGGGCGCCGCTCTCTGGAGACCCGCTGCCCTGCGGGGCTCGGCGCCCTGAGCACGCAGGCTTGCTTCTTCTCCAGAACTTCCCCTCCTAGACACAGGTAGCTAACTTAGCGGGGTTTAGTGCCTACGCCTCTCGGCGTCAGGTTGGTCCTGGCCAGGGATATTGGGTCAACCCTGGTGGTCGCCGCCGTTGGGTGTCCACCGCGACTCGCCACTTGGTTCCTGGTTCCCCCAGCCGCAGCCAGATTACGTGGGACCCAAAGCTGTCGTCTGGTCAGGGCGCTTACGAAGAGCTTTTGTCATGGCTTGCCTGTTGGGGTTGTTTCTCGATTTTTTTTTTTTTTAAACCAGTTGCCCTATCTTGTGGGGATGGAGAAAGAGGGCCGCAGATTGGCCTATATTCTGATTCGTAACCTGTTAATTCCTTGCATTTGCTTTTAACATTTCTTTTTGAACTTTTCAGGAACAGTTGCCAAGTCGAAAATTCCTAACCAGTTTTTTATTCATAGGTTGATTTAAAACAGGAATAATTAAAATGAGAAATTAGCAGAATTTGTGAAATTGGAGGTAATTTAAAAGGAGAAACTCAGTTTTGAGAGGGCGTTGGATCAAAATGCTTAGAAACTCCTTTAAAAGTATTGCACCTGATCCTTACCTGAAACTTAGATTTGGATGGAAAATGGGGAAAGAAGTTTGCTGGGAAAAAAAAAAAAACAAAACTTTTGGAGGTATTCTCTGCCTTTTGGAACATACATAAGTGATGTTTGACTGTCTTTGACAGGGTCAGCTCTGGTTTCTAGTTAAGCAGCTACCTAATCAGCTTATACTTTTGTGCAAAACTGGTTTTTGTTTAGTATATCTGAATATGTAAACCCGAGGAATAAGGGAAAGTTGAAAACTGCAGTAAGCACTGTATCTAAACTTATGTAGGGTTTTTAATTCCTTAGTGAACACCAGGAAAATTTGATTTAGTTAGATATAAAAGAAAAAAAAATTAAACTAATCTGATGAGTCCTGGACTTTAAGTGACCCCCCACTTTTTTTTTTAATTTAAGCAAAGAAGCTTTTAAAAAAACATGGCAGATGTGGATCCGGATACATTGCTGGAATGGCTACAGATGGGACAAGGAGATGAAAGGGACATGCAACTAATAGCCCTTGAACAGCTATGCATGCTGCTTTTGATGTCAGACAACGTGGATCGTTGTTTTGAAACGTAAGTTCATTCCTTCATCTTTCTCTAGGGTTGCTGTAGTGAAATCTTTTTTCAACCATTTGTTAACTTCAGTTTGGATAGAAACTTCTAGGAGTTTTAAAACATTTCAGAAATTTCTGTAGCTTTGTTTTTACACTCTTCTGAGAAATTAAAAGTTGTAGGTGAGGATTATGGTTACTGTGGTAACAATGATTATGATTATGCAAATACATATTTGTTGAACAAATGGGAATTGGGAATACTAATATTAACTGATAGCTTGGTTGATTCATTTAAAAATGTCAAACTTGGGAGAATACAAATATTTATCTTTAAAGGTATTTTTGTAGTGAGAAACTGACAAAATAAGAGAAATGATAGTGAAATTTTTTTTTCCTAATTGTAAACAGACAAAATGCTTTTATTTGTTTATTTTTATGTGGTGCGGAGGATCGAACCCAGTGCCCCACACATACTAGGCAAGCGCTCTGCCACTGAACTACAGCCCCAACCCCAATAGTGAACATGATTTGAGCTGCCCATTCATTGGTGTTAAAGTCATATGACGTTGTACTTTTGTTCATGCAGATTATTTGTTCATAAATTTCATTTTGGGAAGGCATAAATTAGAAGTTAAAACATAGAATATACTTTTTGGAATAGTAAAAACATTTTGGAGTGTTTAAACAGTTTTATTCAGAGGTTATAACAGAATGTCTGCAAAAATATGAAAGAGGATTCATTAGTAGATGGGCCATTAAAGTCATATTTTTCTGGGCTGGGGCTGTAGCTCAGTGGTAGAGTGCCTGTGTCACCCAGGCACTGGGTTCGATCCTAAGCACTACGTAAAAATAAGTAAATAAAGATATTGCGTCCATCTGTAACTAAAAAAAATTTTTTAAAAAATCATGTTTTTTCTCTTATAAAATGGATGCTGGTCTAGCCAGATGAACCATTCTTCTGAGTGTTGAACATGCTTGTTTTTTACAGTTTAATTTGTACTTACAGTTCTGAATTTTAATAATAAGTAATCAAAAAACTGATGTTTCTTTATTTTAGTGTTATCCTAAGGTAAATTAGTAGAAAATATTTGAGATTTTGACCTAAAATTTGAGGTGGGAATAAAGACTACATTTCTTGTTAAATTGAAGTATTTTTATTCTTTAGATTTTTTTGTTGTGTGAAGGATTGAACCCAGAGCCTCTTGCATGCTAGGTGAATGAATTATATATAAACATAAGGAATGAACTTACGTTTCAAATGACATCATATCTTTTGATTATTTTCTCTTATGAGTTGTAAATACTTATTGGTTGTTGTTAAAACAATATTATTTTGATTAAAAAAAATGAAAATCAATTAGTGGTCAATTTATTTTAGCTATTTTTAAAATTTATACATAAAAATAATTTCACCCCCTGTTGACACCTGTTTTGTCAAGATTATAGAAAAGTAGAGCTTTTTTCTTCTTTAAACAAAATCTGGAGTTTTAAAATCAGAACAGGAGCCAGATGCAGTGGCTCATGCCTATAATTCCAGCAGATTGGTAGGCTGAGGCAGGAGGATAGCAAAAACAGCAGGGATACAGTAAACAAACAAAATACTTTACTGATTCTTAATTTAGACTAAAAGCTTCCCCAAAACATTGAATATCCAGCTTATTCCTGAGACATCAACCATTACAAAAGATTTTTACTCTTTGAACCATTCACTTTTTGTAGCAGAAAACACACTGAAGTTCCACAGATACCTTTCTTCTTGTCTTTGTAAAAGGTGTTTACAAGTAGGATTTTTTCATAGTTCAAAAGAAAACAGCTTTCTTTGCTAGTCAAAGGAACATTTATTCCCTAGCAAAGAATAGTTTGGGCGCAGTAGCGGAAGCCTGTAATCCCAGCAGCTCAGAAGGCTGAGGCAAGAGGATCGAAAATTCAAAGCCAGCCTCAGTAAAAGCAAGGTGCTAAACAACTCAGTGGGACCCTGTCTTTAAGTGAAATACAAAATAGCCTGGGGATGAGGTTGAGTGTCCCTGAGTGCAATCTCCAGTACAAAAGAAAGAGAGAGAGAGAGAGAGAGAGAGAGAGAGAGAAGAGTTTTGAGTATTCATATATTCCAATAGAGGTATTTTTAAAAGTCATGGGCTGGGGATGGTTTATGCATGCCTATAATTCTAGCCACTTGGGAGGCTGAGGCAGGAGGATTGCAAGTTCAAGGCCAGCCTCAGCAACTTAGTGAAATGCTTAGCAATTTAGCAAGACTGTGTCTCAAAAATAGAAAAATAGAAGACTGGGGATGTGGTGGTAAAGTGCCTCTGGTTCAATCCTTAAACCCCACCCCCCTAAATGTTATCATATTTGAAGGTATTTGTTATTTTTATTTTTTACTTATTTTTAAAAATATCTATTTTCTAGTTGTAGTTGGACACAATACCTTTATTTTATTTATTTATTTTTATGTGGTGCTGAGGATGGAACTCAGGGCCTTGCACGTGCTAAGCGAGTGCTCTACCGCTGAGCCACAACCCCAGCCCTGAAGGTATTTTTAAAGGAAATTTTTAAAAGTAAAACATAACAACTGTTACTATTTCATACTTTGTTCATATTTAGTATAATTTTTTTTTTTTTTGTACTGGGAATTGAATCCAGGGGGCGCTTATCCACTGAGCCACATATCTCCAGCCCTTTCTTGTATTTTATTTAGAGACAGGGTCTCACTGAGTTGCCTAGGGCCTTGCTGAGTGGTTGAGGCTGGTTTGGAACTTGCAATTCCCCTGCATCAGCCTCCTGAACTGCATGGTGTGTGCCGCCATGCCCAGCGACAGTTTTTTAACTGTAATTTGCTCTCATTATTCTGCAGCAGTATCTTCTTGCTACAAGGAAAAATTGTCTTGGTTTCCTTGTTTTTTTTTTCTTGTTTTTGTATTTTTTTGAGATGGGGGTCTTGCTGTGTTGCCTAGTCTGGGCTCAAACTCCAGATCCTCCCCTTAGCCTTCTGAGAATTACAAGCATGTGCCAATATGTGAAAAGTGTTTTAAGTGGGCTACCCACTGATATCATTATTGATAAATATCTAATTTAAATATTTATTTTGGCACTTTATTTCTTGAAACTGATAAATTTTGGAGAGACTTAAATTTCTTTTTAATAGTGAACAAATAAGGCAGGTGAATAAAGCAAGATGGTGTTCATATCTTGAATGTTGCTGAAAATCTTCCATATCAATTTGATTTCATAAGGCAGATAGCCTAGTTAAAAAAAAGATGCTCATATATTCAGATACATTTTTGCCTGGTTAGCTTGTATTAAGTATACATCTGTTTAGCTAGGAAAGGCAGGAGGTGTGTAGAGCAACAATGACCTTTGCAGTGGGATAGACCTAGGTTCATTCAGTTTTACTGCTGAATAATTATATATTGCCTTTCAAACTTGCTTCCTCATTCTTGGAGGGTTTTGTGAAAATTAAATGGAATAGTACAAAAGCCTGACATTGCTGTTCATATAATGGTTAAGTGTTTTTTTCCCCCCTTAATGTAGTATTGTTCATGGCTCTCCATTTTTTTCAGTATCAATTTTATTTTTTTTAATTATTATATCAGGGATTGAATCCAAGGGAGCTTAACCACTGAGTCACATTCCCAGTCCCTTCTATTTTTTTATTTTGAAACCGGGTCTTGCTGAGTTCCTTCAGGCCTTGCTAAATTGCTGAAGCTGGCCTTGAACTTATGATCCTCCTGCTTCATCCTCCCCAGTCACAGGTGTGCACCACCATGCCCAGTTGGTACCAGTTTTGACAGTCCTTTTGGAATTAAGGAATATAATTTTCTGTGATGATACAGTCCTTATTTTTAAATTTTTTTTAAAGTATGTTTTATTTGTAGTTGGACACAATACCTTTATTTTATTTATTTTTATGTGGTGCTGAGGATCGAACCCAGGGCCTCACGTGTATGAGGCAAGTGCTGTACCACTGAGCTGCAACCACAGTCCTTATTAATGCTTGAATTTATCGAGGTAATGCTCCAGAAAGAAAAATAGATCATACTTTGTTTTTGCTTTCATCTGTGATATATCATTGGACTCAAAGTGTATTATGAATTATTAGCTAATGAGTA